AGGGAGGGAGGGAGGGAGGGAGGGAGGGAGGGAGGGAGGAAGGAAGGAAGGAAAGAAAAGACATATTTAAAAAAATGAAAGTGAGACATATCAGAGGAATCAAAACCCTCTATAAAGACTCTTGGGTGTAGTTAGATAAACACTGTTAGGAACTGTGAAGAATTTAGTGTTGTGTCTTTATTGTAAGCATCTTTGTTTGTTTGTTTGTTTGTTTGTTTGTTTGTTTGTTTGTTTGAGACAGCATCTCACTATGCAGCTCTGGCTGTCCTGGAACTCACTGTATAGACCAGGCTGGCTCATAGAGATCTGCCTGTCTCTGTCTCCTGAGTACAGGGATTAAAGGCGTGTGCCACCATGCCCAGCTAGTGTATCTTTTAATGGTTGAATTTCTTTCAGTAAGCTGGGGGGTGGGATTTAATCTTCTGGTTGACAGCGGTCAGACCCTTCCATTGTCTCTAGTTGCCTTGACTGGGAAGCTGAGAGTAGAGCAGTCAGTCTTTTGGAGGTAGGCAGGACTGTCATGACAGCAACCATGGCACACCGAGGAAACTACAGTACAGCTGTATGCAACACCCCGCGGGTCTTGTTCTAGTCAGAACTTCTCCTAGGCTGCTTGCATTGGCTTTAGAGCACTCCATTCTGGGCAAAGGAAGCCTTGATACGCTCAGGGTTTCCATGTTCCTCTTCGCTTGGGAAAGGAGGGGGAGCACTCCCACAATGACTAGGCAAAAAGCTAATGGTGCTAAGGTCAGGCTTGTGATTTAGGTCATAGGGCAGATTTGCAATTGGTGGAGCTAGAAAATATGCACACGCAGCATTGGAAATGGTGGAATTACAATCTGTATACAAACACGCCTCATCCTTTTTCTTGCTATAAAATCAATGTGTTGACTACATTTTTTAGGTGGTTCTGACAGGTTTCTCCACACTCCCAGTACTACAATAGGCCCAGTAATGATGTCGAAATAGACTGGGTATATATAATCTTTATTATTCAGATTTTTAAATTTTTTTGAGATTTCATACATGAGTACTGTATTTACATCATTCCCACCTTTCCCTTCCCCCCAACTCTTCCTGTATCTTCCCAACTCCCTCCCAAGTTCATAATGTCATCTTCTTTAATTAGGATTGTTACATCTATATTTATTTACATACATATGTGTATAAAGAAATACAGCTGGGCAGGGGTGGTGCACATCTTTAATCCTAGCACTCAGGAGGCAGAGGCAGGCAGATCTCTGTGAGTTCAAGGCCAGCCTGGGCTACAGGGTGAGTTCCAGCACAGTCAGGGCTACACAGAGAAACCCTGTCTCAAAAAAACCAAAACCAAAATGATAACAACAACAAAAGAATGGAGAATATGGCTTCAAATTCATGTGCAATGACATACTGTTTAGGCCAGCTATAAATTGTGGAAAAGAAAGTGGACCGCATGGAGAAATATAAAATTAACGAGCCCTGGAGATGATCAGAGGAAAATCATATGGCCCTTGAGAGACAACAGAGAATATCAGCTATTGACAGCTCTCCAGACCCTCTGAAACTTTATTTGACTACATTTCCTTCCTTTAGACTCAACAGAAAAAATATAATAAATGTGAGCTTAAAATACTCAGCCACACCACTGACATATGCACATTTTCAAGTCTTTTTAAAGATTTATTTACTTTTATTTTATGTTCGTTGGTCTTTTGCCTGGATGTATGTCTGTGTAATGGTGCCAGATCCCCTGGAACTGGAGTTTAAGACAGTTGTGAGCTGCCATATGGGTGCTAGGAACTGAACCTGGGTCCTCCGGAAGAGCAGCCAGTGCTCTTAATTGTTGAGCCATCTTTCCAACCTCCTTTTAAATCTTTTTTTTTCAAGCTACTTTATGTGGGTTTTAGTTTTTTACAACTCAAAAAGACCTGACTAGAAACTGAATTAAAAGACAGTGAGAACAGTAATGATTTGCAGAGTAAAATAAGTGCAGAATAAAAGAGAGACAAGGCTATCAGACTTGCGTTCCGTTGCTGGAAAACTTTTCACAAGGGCGATGAAGATCCTTTGAAATGAGCCCTAACAAACTCTTTTTCTTGACTTGGTTTATAGTCTTTCGTAATTCAATCACTTATCTTAGATCCCTGATGTTTTCATATGAGGATGAACACTTGCTTTCTACCTGTTTGGTTAAAAAGTCACCAGCAGGGAGTCAGAAGATTAATTTCAGGGTTTTCTTTTTTTTTTTTTTAGTTCTTTCCTTGTTTCCCTTCTTTCTTCTCCCCTTCTCCCATCCCAACCTCCAGAAAAACGAACCACACACTCACACCCTGTCAAAAAACATAAACAAGTGAACAGTTGATAGGTACAGCCAATTATTTGACTAGTGAAAAGCCAACTAACTAATATATGCATATACTTACACAAAGCAACCTTTTGCCCATCATTCTCTTCCCTGCATATGCTTGCCTTCAATTCTAATGAAAGCTATTTTAGGACAGTTTTTTTTTTTTAATGGCACCGCTGTTCATGACAGAGGTAATAGCTATGATACGCCTCCTTACTATTTTCTTTACGTGAAAGCAAATTAAGTGCTAAGCCTTTTATTCTTAGAAATAATAGTCATACAATTGTTTGCCTAGCTTCTATCAAAAGTCCTTAGTAATTTTGGAATCGGTCGACATTTCTATGAACCTCCTACAGGACTGTTGTCAAGTTCTACTCAGCATGGTAAAATGTCTGCAAAGCACATGCACACTTCCTACTGTAATCTGTCGCTCAGCAATACAGAGTTTTACAAGTTGCAAGGTACATAATCAAGGTCAATGTGTGTTATTAAGAAACAGCTTGGAAGCCATGGCTTAATATTTCTCAATGCTTTTAGCTCTGTGGTTATATTTAATTGCATTCACTCCAGAAATACACTTCTCCTATCTATCCTGATGTACACCTTTCATTGCATGGCATCCCCTCCACAGCCAGAGAAGGTTGGTATACAGACAGACTGGAATGATGAATAAGAAGAAAACCAGCAAAGGTTCAAGTGGCTGTGATGAGAGAAGTGGCATTGTCCAAGATTATACAGAACACTCAGGAGCCTAGAGGGACTAGTGTGCCTGTTTCTAAAGGATACAGTTGGTATGGGAACAGAGGAGGGTGACTGTTTGGGTGTTTGTATTTCCTGGGTGATTTTTAAGTGTCACTCACGATAAAAAACATATTCAGTGTAAGAGGTCCAGATCCTGTCATCTGTTTGGTCGTGTGTGACAGTGCAGGTGCCAGTGGAGTTGCATGCTACCATGTGGAAGCCAGCATCAGCTAGTTTGTCGAAGGCTTGTTCCAGAAAAGTGAATTTGAGGTAGTATCGAGAAGTGTATCTCTCAGGAGGGCGGTCTGGGTCTCTGCTCTCATTCAGAGTGTCGCCGAACACTTCTTTGGCTAATGAGATCTTACCACACACCATGATTCTGGCCACACGGCGGAATTTGGCATCTGTTTGGCTGTCCCTGCCCAGAGTATAGGAGCCTCGATAGCCAATAGTGATGAAGCCAGCCTTCTTGAGCTCAGAACCAGTGGCAGCTGTCAGAACCATGGAATTATCAGGGCCACTGATATGAATGCTATTAGTTGAAGAGAAATTAAAAGTGGTGTCAATGCTGGGGGAAAGCTCTTCCAGATCAATTTGACATGAGTCGTTGCCAACTGAGCTGAGCTTGTTCATTTTAAGGGCCAACATCTTGGCCAGTTCTGGCAACTTAAAGTATTCCGCTTCCCTATGGAGCCGGCCACACTCTGGAAAGTGGTCAGGAAGCACTACCTGCAGATCTCTCATGTAGTCTAGGACATAACGAAAGAGAAAACCATCTCGATCTATGAAGAATCTCCCTTTGTTGTCCTGGATCAGAGAGCAAGGGTTCTTTCCACTGAACATTTCCCAGAGCCGGGAACCAGGAATGTTGATCAGAGTAGGGTAGCGAGTTATGTATACCTGGCCACCTACATTGAGTTCAATAATCTCAGGAAACTTGCTGCAATCCTCTGATGGTTTGACACAACTTGACTTTTCTGGCATGGCCATGTTGACCTGAAAAAACAAAACATTACTTTTGAGTAAGAATGTATAACATGGGGAGTCTGTTCATAAGCATCCATTTTCTTCATACATATATTCTGTAGATCAAGAAATCCAAGGCTGGGGAGATTGTTCAACCTGTAAAAACACTAGCCATATAATCCTGATGAGTTGTCTCATCCCGAATCAAAACATGGATTCAGTGCCATGTATCTGTAATACCAGATGCCTATAAGAGGTGGGGACAGGAGAATTTGCTAGAAGTTCATGTGGCAGCTAGTGTAGAGTGTGTAGCACATCAGGAACAAGAAAGATTCCATCTCAACAATGTGCAAGGAGGGAAGTGACTTCTGAATCTTGTCCTTTGACCTCCACATGTAGACCATGGTACACACGCATTCACACACACCTCACATTTATTGATGGAAAAGGAGAAAGAATAAACTCATGCAAAAGCGTAATCATTTGCCCATTAACTATGTTAACTTGAGAGCAGCAGCATAGAAAAGACTTCATGGTTTGGCTTTGCCATCTTTTCCCCCGTTTTGGGCTTCTGTCACCCTAGATAAGAGCTCTACCACCGAGCAAAAGCCCAGCCCTTTCTATGTTCAGAATCTCTTCTGAAATCCCCATGTGTCAGACAATATCTGTCATTTCATGGCAGGTTACCATAGTTTATGCAAGACCCCCTTTCTTCAATGTTTCTGTTTTTCCACTTTATCTTCTCAGCTCATTCACGTGCCTGTCTCTGACCCCAACACAGACAACCACGTTGGTATAGTTAGTGTGCATCTTCTTATGTATGTATTCTTACAAAAATGAATTTTAGGGTTTTAAATATATATGCTATTATATTATATATTTCCTCCCTGATTTTTTTCAGTCTTGGCACTATATTATTCAGATACCTTTTGTTGATATATTCATGTATATTATTCTCTTGTTTCTAATTATATTATAAGACCTTGATATGTTCATCTAACACATTTTATCAACCACACTCCCAGCGGCTGAAGCCTAAATTGTTTTAAACTACCTGTTCTAGTACACATCCCTGTACATGTTGTTTATGATTTCCAGGTCTTCGCCCCTTCCTATCTTCTAATCTTCAGCTCCATATTGGCAGCCCCTTGCTGACTGCGTTGGCAGCACCTCAGTTCTAGCAGGTTCAAAATTGCCTTTGTGTACGTGAAAGTGTTTTTTAAAAATAGAAATCATTATTATTTGTCTTCATGTTTTCAGCACAAATAGGTCACATTCTTTGACTTTTCTCTTGTTAGAAGCACAATTTTGCGTCACCTACATTGACATTCTAAATGTTGAGTCATCGTATTGATTCATCCCTCCTTATCCATATATGTCACTAACCTAGAAACCATTCCTTTGTGATGTCTCTTGGACACACATTATTCCTACTGACATGTGTTTTATACTGTGCACTAATGTAAGACCCTCCTAACAGCTTGTCTTTCTCTGGCTGTTCCACATTCACATCTGTCACATACACATTCATTTCCATAAAATATTCTAAATTCTGATACCAGATCAGTTGCTATGCTATCTTCTCTGTTTACTTACTGCAATTAAACGGTTCCAATTTACCCATATACCAAATACGAATCTCTAAACTAGTTGCATCTCCTCTTTAATGACAAGATCTTGTAACACTATATAGGACTTAGGTGCCGGGCCAACAGTGGCATACACATGTTTTTCATACATATAAGTATTAGCAGATACAATAAAAAAGAGTCAGTAAAATGTAGTAGTTAATAACGAGCTCTGTGGTCTTCTGCTTGAGTTTAGATACCAGCATAAGTACTTTTTAGTTATATGTTGGACAAAGTTTTTGAATCTGTTATTGAACAGTTTGTGGGTAATAAAAATAATGGCTTCATCAGCTAAGAAAAATACCCAGCAAAATAATTCGCCATTTTTACAATGAACACAGGTTAATAATATAAATGAAATTAAAAAAAACGAATCTGAAAGCTACGAGAAAATAAAATGAAGGCAAAAATATTGGCTCCAAAATTCCATAAGCTGGTCTTTGCTTTGCTCTTTGCTCATTAATTCAAGTTCTCATTCCCTTTGAAAGAATGGAGACATTAGGCACACTGGACCCATACCCAGTCCTTCAAGCTCATCCACTTTTTCATGCCTGTGTGCCTAAAACTTAGGATTCTGTATGTCTGAAATGTACTTTTTATTTGTTCTACTAATTCAATTCCTCTCTACTCCTTTCTTGTGAAATCATAAAAGAAGCTGGCAGGTTTGAATTAGAGTCCTGATTCTGGCAGTTATTAGCTGGGTAGCCTCGGGCAAACTGTGTGTTTTCTTCTCTGAGTCTCTATTTCTTTATCCAGAAAATGGATATAGAAAAAAAAAACCTGATCAATAAGATGAGAAGGAAATTGTATATGAGGTATAAAAGTACTTAATACAGTGTTTGCTGTGTAATAAGTACTTATCAGATGATTACTTACATTAGCTTCCTGAGCTTGTCTTCAATCGGTGATCTCAACCTTCCTAATGCTGTGACCCTTTAATACGTTCCTCATGTTGTGGTGATCCCCAACCATACAATTATTTTCATTTCATTGCTACTTCATAACTGTAATTTTGCTAGTGTTATGAATCTTAAAGGAAATGTCTAATTTAAAGGATGTCTGATATGCGCCCCCTGTGAAAGGGTCGTTTGACTCCCAAAGGGGTTGAGAACCACTGGTTTAGAAAAAGTGAAGTATTGCTTTCCACTGAGAAGGTACTCAGTGTGTCACAGCAATCCATTGAGATGCTGCTTAAATGATCCATCCTGTCTGACTTTCAACCCCATCCCTTTATATTCTGTGTTACTGCTGCAATTTAGAAATACTTGTATTGGAACACCTGACAGTATTCTGGAGTTGAGTATGTATGCAGCTGTCTGTGACTAATATAGCCTCAGATAGAAAGTAATCTCCATCTATCCTTCTTTGGGTCAGCAGCACTGTGAGCCTGGTAGGTAGCAAGATTGGAGTAGCTGCTGGATGTTGAGTAAAGCACCAGCGAACTCATGTTAAATAATAATGCCATTAACTTCATAATCCCAGAGTAGATGAGTAGAAATCCATTTCTAGAAATCCATTTTGAATGCATGTATGTGCAAAAAGAAACGTAACCGATTTTGTAGATTTCTGAATTTAAAAGGTGTTATTCTTCGAAAAATACTATCAAAAAATGAAGATGTTTTCCCCCATTGAACAAACAGATCATTTTTAAAAACAGCAGTGTTTTTTCTCCTTACTGCTTTAGATAAAGTTCTGTATAAGTCAACTTGAACTAGGCACTTAGAAACTACGCTTGCTCAAAAAGCATTGACTCATTGGGCCCACAGGTTAACTAAAAGCAAGGTGAAAGTTGGATGCCTCTGCCTGCATTCTGCATCTGTCTGTCTCATTTCCTTCAGCTGAAGGTGCTCAGGTGAATCATTGTCTTTAATCTTTCCTCTTGAGTCACCTTGGATCCCAGGATTGGAATGGCAGGAGCAGACCACCCTCCAGGAAAGGGAAATAATCCCTTACAGTCCATTTTGGATCAGAAACAAGAAGAAGCACATTGATCCCTCCACACAATAGGGTTTCTTCAGGTCATCTTACTGGACCAAAACTGAAATGGTCAAGCAGACCACATCTTGACTAGGGTAGTTTAATTATACATGCCTCTTGCCCTTTGTACCAATTCTCCCTCTTCTCAGCGTGGAGCACTGAATACATCTGTTTGCACAATTACTTGTTTCTCTGTCATATTGGTGATATATCCTGGGGGCAGATGCTGTCATAACCCAGTCTTCAGTCACGAAAACTTAATTAGCCAACGATCCAAAATCTTATGAATCAGTTATAGTCAATCTAGGGAAGTGGTTCTCAACCTGTGGGTCATGACCCTTTGGGATTTGAAGGATTCTTTCAAAGGGGTTGCATATTCTGCACGCCGGATATTTACATTACGATTCCAAACAGTGGCAAAGTAACAACGAAATAATTTTATGGCTGTGGGTCACCACAACCTGAGGAACTGTATTAAAGGGTTGCAGCATCAGGAAGGGTGAGAACCGCTGCTCTGGGGAGTCAAGCTGGGTAGTCTGTTTTGTCACTCATCTTAACAAAGCAGTGCTAGCTAATTTCAAAAGGACAGAGCCTTTACTCTGGGAGAAGAAATCCGAACAAAAGTCAGCAGAGAACAGCACCAGAACTTCAATTGCTGCCTTTCTCAAGCATGTTTTTAAACATGAATAGAAATTTCACTCTGAAACTCCACTTGTGACATTATTCCTCATAGCTAGCAATCTCAATGTGTTTGTTTGTTTGTTTGGTTTGTTTTTTTTTTGTTTGTTTGTTTGTTTGGTTGATTTGTTTTTTTTTTTATTTTTAGAAAGAAAACGGAAGTAATTTCTTTAATAATGAACAAATCCCGTTGAAAACAGCCCCTTGTGCCCTATGCCATGAAGTCAGGAAGGACATACTCCACAAACAGGAAGATGTTTATCTGTTTGCGGGGTTTTGCAATGGACAACTTCTTCCTCCCTTTCTCCATCCCAGTGTTCTCTGCTGAGCTGCTTCTGCTCACGGGGACACAAGCAAGCAACAAACGAACACAGGACTTCTTTTCATCGAACAACCGGCCAGCTTCTGAAATGCTTCCTTTTTTTTTCTTTTTGTGAGGGGTCTGGGGGGCAGAGGGCAGCCTTTCAAGAAACCCTGAAATGCCTCATTTAGTCTCTTTCGTGACTAAACCCGACTTTGATGAGGGTTTGTTGGTGGTGCCCTCGGTAAATCAAATAAGAGTCCCCATAAGGAGGAAGTAAATGGGTGACACAATACAAATGCCTTAAACCAGGGTGAAGAGAAGCCCGCTGAAAGCAGCTGCCTTCCAAGCCGCAAGAACTGAGTTGTGTGTTCTAGTGTTTCAAAGGCGGTGAGGAAACTAAACGACGTCTCTCTCTCCCTTTCTGGCTCGGGATAATTCTACTTGTAACCAAGATCCATGTTTTCCAAAAACAAAAGTCAGCTACAGCAAAGTACACCATACTGTGTGCTCGTCAATGGTACGAGACTGCCTGAAAATGTGCAGGAAGACATTTCTGAGAAAACCAGACACTTTATCAATAAACCAGTTTCCAGTTTTACTAAGCTTGAAATCCCTATGCCCTAATCCCCCCTTCCTCCCTCCCTCCATTTTCTTCCGGAGTCCTTCACTTTTCTGTTTCTACTGGCTTCTGTCCCTCTCCTCTTTTATACCAATGTGTTTTAAATATGCACTCCTTTGGAAGAACAAACCCACACATTTGAATTAGAAAAGCGATTCCCACCTTGGGTGCTGCTCCGATTCAGAGATCCTAGGAATCAAAGTAGTTAACAGCTAATCTGGACGTGTAAGCAAAGGGGGGAAAACAACTTTAAGAATTAAGTAACAGTTCTTTGCCTCAGCAATACTCCCTTCTGCTTCCAACTAGCTTGTCTCTGTGACTTTTTTTTTCTGCTCATAAAAGAATGTGTTAACGTTGAAACCCATCAAAATGCTTTACAAATTAACCGGATGCTGAAAACCAGTCTGAATTTCCCCTCAGAAAGCACTTGGGCTGCTTTAGGAGCTCTAAACTGCCTTACAGACACAGGTTTCACAGGAGATCCTCTCTCAACAGAAACAACAGCACAGCCGTGCCTAGCCCTGGCGCAAATGCAGAAGCTCTGGGATTCCCGAAGCAATGGACTGGAAAGGGAAGACAGGGAGGTTGATAGCATAGTTACCTTGAATCTCCAGCCACTGAGGTACCGGCCAAGCGAAGCTTCACGGCTCTGAGAGCTCAGCTCCCCCGAGGAATGCCTTTCTGTTCTTCCGCTCTCTTGCTGTGTGTGTGCTTTGGTGCTTGGGTTGAGTTTTCCTCTGTAAAACTAGCAGTCGTGGAAACCCTCCTCCCCTGCTATGACATACTTGACTTCCTCTCCAGCCCGGCCTCCTTACTCTGCAGCCCTGAGGAAGAAGCAGAGCAAAGCGGAGGAGGAGAAGAAGGAAGGCACGGAAGGGGGAGGGGGCGGGAAACAAAGGTGGTGGTGGCGGTGATAGGAGAAATTTTGTTCATCTTGGTCCCAGCAGAGCGAGCAAACCTTTTTGCAGTGACAGCTCCATGAATGATTTGTAAGGGTTTCGTTGTTTGTTTGTTTCTGAAGCAGGGCCTTCTTAACAAGCCCAGGCTAGCCTTGAAATTTACATCCTTCTGTGTCAGGCTCTGGAGTGCTGGGATGGCAGGTGTGGACAACCACATCCACTCTGAATGGAGTTTTCAATGAAGAATTGGTTCAATTCTGAACTTAATATTAAGTCTATTTACTTTAATGCACATAACCCTGCACGTCAGATAGTATGCTGAGTGCCAAAAATAAAGAAATACTGTACACATTTTTCTTTCTCGAAAAGAAATAAATTCACTCTGAGTGTTTAAACTGTTATGGACATGAAAAGCCAGTGTTGTAGGAACAAAAAGAAGCGATCTGGTGCTTTCTGGAGAAATCTGAAGGTTTCCTGGAGGATGAACTAAACTGAGTTTTACCAGATGAATGAGAATTAAACCACAAGAAGACAGAATTAGTATTGCAGGCAGCAGGAACAGTGTCAACAAAGACAAAGAAATGGGAAAAAGCACACTATGAGGCCTACATTCAACTGTTTTTGAATGCTAGAGTCAAGAAAGTAGGAGGCCTCAATCCTAAAACCCAAGTGAATGTTCTCCAGATGTGGTGTGGACCCAACTGAAAAGTGAACCCCTTACCCATCTAAGTTATTTTATTGTATGTGCATTTCTCTCCATATGCACTAGTGAAATCATTGGATTTAAATGTGGATCATTTTTTTTCAAAAATGTATCAACCCTCTCCAAATCTTAAACTTCTCTCTCAGTCATATAATAAAACATATTTCTGAGAGGTTGATTTTAAAATGCTTTGGTTTGGAGTGAGGATATATTTGTATGTAAAAAACAGAAAACCAGACTGAATAATATGGAGATATTTATTTTTTTATATAACAAATCTTAGGTCAGTTGTATCACTGGTAATTTTAATAACTGAATGAAATTCATTAACATTTCTCTCATTAATATATTTAACTGTGCTGATTTTTTTGTCAGCTTGACACAAACAGACATATCTGGGAAGAGGGAATCTCAATTCAGGAATTGTCTACATCAGATCACCCTGTAGGCAAGTCTCTGGAGGCATTTTCTTGATTCATAACTGATGTGAGAGGGCCCAGCCCAGTGTGGGTGATGTCACCCCTACACAGGTTGGTCCTGGGCTATATAAGAAAGAAATCTGAGCACACCATGAGGAGCAAGGTAATTAGTAGTATTCCTCCATGGACCCTGCTTCAGTTCCTGCCTCCAGGTTCCTTTCCTGACTTTCTTCAGTGACAGGTTGTAACCTGGAGGTGGAAGATGAAGTAAACGCTTTCTCCCCTAGGTTTCACTTAGTCATGATCTTTATCACAGCAATAGAAACATAAATAAGTGTGGTATTGTATTCCCCAAATATTGTGCATGCTAATAAACTTATCTGGGGTCAGAGACAGAACAGCCACAATATTAAACATAAAGGATAGGCAGTGGTAGCACACGCCTTTAATCCTAGCATTCCAGAGGCAGAAATCCATGTGTCCAAGGATACAGACAAGGCATGGTGACTCATCATGCCTTTAATCCAGAAAGCAAGCCTTTAATCACAGGGAGTAAAGCAGTTAGAAAGCAGAAAGGTATATAAGGTGTGAGGACCAGAAACTAGCAGCATTTGGCTGGTTAAGCATTTGGCTGGTTAAGCATTTGGCCTGGTTAAGCTTTCAGGCTTCTAGCAGCAGTTCAGCTGAGAGCCATTGGTCTGAGGAAACAAGACCAGCTGAGCAGTTGGCCAGGTGAGGTTAGCTGAGGCTTGTTCTGGCTCTCTGATCTTCCAGTGTTCACCCCAATACCTGGCTCAGGTTTGATTTTATTAATAAGTACTTTTAAGATTCCTGCTACAAATAAGCCATTGTTTTTGACATGTAAGCAACTCCCTTCATGCTCACCCAATGGCTTTAGCAGCTTCCCATGTTGCATAGGTATGCAACAAGTTCTAAAGACACAGAAGTGAATTAAAAGGCTGTGTTTACAGTCTAAAGCAGTTTGGTTTTTCATTCTAACACTAAATAACCTATGCTAGTTACATTTTTTTAAGTAGTAAAACCCTCTCCAGAAAATTTACCTGTATTCCCAGAGATTCTTACAGATCATATTCACCGTGATTATGTTATATGCGAGGGAAATGTAACATCATTGGCTTAATTTATTTTAAACCGTTCTCTGGGCTAGGGAAGGATGCAGTTCCCTCTGGTGAGTATGATGGGTAAAATCTGAAAAAGTAATCTGGGGCCAAATTTCCAAGTGGCAGCTAATAGTGTCTACAAGCCATTGTTTTTCCCCCCTTTGATCTCTCTCTCTCTCTCTCTCTCTCTCTCTCTCTCTCTCTCTCTCTCTCTCTCTCTCT